TGTGAGGGGGAGGCTGTCCCGTAGCAGCTCTTTGATGTCATGGGTGACAAAGGCACTGCGGATGCGATGGTGGCGTAACCTGTTGTGGCCTCTCAGGAGGGCTCTAGCCTCCGGGGAGCGCCGCCCAAGCGTCGAAGCACGCTCGCCAACCTCCTCTGTGCCCGAGTGCATCGACTACTACCTTGCGCCTGCTGTGGTGATGTGTCACGTGTGGTCCGTGCTGCGGTTGGCCGTGGCTGCCGCCGCCGGAGCCATGAGCTCCAACTCTTGGTGGCAGGTCTTCGTGCTTGGGTACAGCGCCGTCGAGATAGATGGAGGAGAGAGGGGGAAGACGAAACCACTTCTCAAAGCACTGAAGGAGTTGATTTACACCGGTTCTCAAAGATGGGGGGAGGAGTTAAACCCGATTTTGTGGTTGGGGATTGCAATTCGATCACGAGCAAAACATCAGGAACGTAAAATAGAATTACTAGAAAATACCCCACGCGTTGCTGCATGAATATATGGTGAAAATAATGATAACGATTTTTATAAATGCAGTTTTATAGAGTGGTATATAATTTCTACTGCACCAAGCACGAATGGTTACACTACCGGAGGAATGATCTTTGCATGGTCGCCTGATTTCCACAATAGTCCCGGTTCTAATAAAAACCGAGACTAAAAATTGTTTTTAGTCCCGGTTATAAAAATTTTGATCTTTAGTCCTGGTTTATGCCCTGTCAGTTAGTCTCGGTTGGTAGTATCAACTAGGACTAAAGATTATCACTTTAGTCCAGGTTGGTAGTAACAACCGGGAGTAATAATCATTTAGATCTTTAGTCCCAGTTGGTACTACAAACCGGGACTAAAAATCTATCTTTAGTCCTAGTTGGTAAGTCCAACCGGGAGTAAATATTTCTCTCCTATCTCTGATCGGTTAAGTCCCAGAAGAAATATTTAGAGATAAGATCGTCTCTCTCCAACTCCTCTCAGATATCACCCCTCTCCAACTCCCTCAGATCCGATCCAAGCCTCCTCGTCCCCTCCCCTCTCCTCCTCCTCCTTCTCCCCTTCCTCCTCCTCCCCTCCCATCCGGGGGCCGACAGGCGGCCGGCAGGGCCAAGCCCAGCGGCAGCGGGCAGGCGGCGGGCAGCCGTGGTGAGCGGAGGCAGCCGGCTTTGTTTTCTTTTTTTTTATATAATCTGTGATTCATTGGGATGTATAATTTCGTGATTCATTGTACATTTGTATGGATTTGAGATGTATAATATGTGATGTATTTGATTTGTTTTGTAATTTTTTTAGGATTTGTGATGTATTTGATTTGTGTGTATGAGTAACTTTAAGTTTTGTGATTTGTGATGTGGATTTGGGATGTTACTTTGATTTGGGGATTTGGGGTTTGATTTGGGGATGTGCATGCCACTCGATTAGGGAGAAAATAAAAAAGAAAAAAAAAAGGGGACATCTGGACTGCACGCTACCCTCTCTTTAGTCCCGGTTGGTAACAACAACCAGAACTAAAGATCCCTCTCTTTAGTCCCGGTTATTTCAACCGGGACTAAAGATGGGCATCTTTAGTCCGGATTGCTACTCTCGGTTGGAAACCCAGGACTAAAGGGGGTTACCAACCGGGAGTAAAAAAGTTTCTCCACCAGTGTTAATTTTTCAGCAATATGCTTTTGATTGGTTGGATTACAAATATGATCGTCGTTAAATAACAAATGAAAATAAAATTTCTGAAGGTAGTTATAGTCTGAAAATACATTCAATTAGCATATGAAATTGGAAGACTGTTTTGAGATAAATCTTTAGACATAAGGTGGGCAGCACAAAGAAAATCATGGCGAGTTGGGTGACCATTAGTGAGGTACTCACGGTTTATATGACGTTGTTTCTTCAATCATGTAGACCATCAGCGTGTCAAGTCTGGTATGCTTTTGTTTCGAACAAAATAAAGTCTGTTTTTCTTTCAAACAGAACATTACAAAATGCTCTAAAAGTATTAATACCGTGCTAGTGAAGTCCTTTTGAAGATGAATAGTATTGCATTACGTGTTAGAGAACATAACATCTTCTGATATGGTCCTTGGAATTACAATCGGTTGCGAGTTACTCAGCTTCTTGGACTGTTACTCGGGATATCATCAGATCCGACTAAAAGAATCCGACTGCTTGAAGACCTCGTTTATTACGCCCTTAGGGGCCAACTGCTACATCACCATGCCCTTTGGATTGAAAAATGTAGGAGCGACCTATCAACGCATAATTCAAAGATGTTTTTCAACTCAGATCGGTCGCAATGTTGAAGCTTATGTTGATGATGTAGTCGTCAAGATCAAGCAGAAGGATGGCCTGATTGCGGATTTAGAAGAAACATTTTCAAGCATTCGTGCTTTCAAGATGAAACTAAACCTGGAAAAGTGCATCTTCGGAGTACCGTCGGGGAAATTGCTCGGATTTATGGTATCTCAAAGAGGTATACAGGCCAACCCGGAGAAAATCAACGCCATCCTCAACATGAAACCGCCAAGCTCCCAAAAAGACATCCAAAAGCAGACTGGTTGCATGGCGGCGCTCAGCCGGTTCGTTTCACGACTCGGCAAGCGAGGGATGCCTTTCTTCAAGCTGCTGAAGAAGACTAACAATTTCCCGTGGGGGCCCGAAGCACAGAAAGCCTTTGAAGACTTCAAGAAACTCCTCACCACTTCACCAGTTTTGGCCTCGCCACATCCGCAAGAGCCGCTACTGTTATATGTGTCGGCGACCTCCCAGGTTGTGAGTGCGGTCCTGGTTGTCGAGCGTGAAGAGGAAGGCCATGTTCAAAAAGTCCAACGTCCAATTTATTTCGTTAGCGAGGTTTTAGCCGACTCCAAGACAAGATATCCTCAGGTTCAAAAGTTACTATATGGTGTCCTAATTACCGTCAGGAAATTATCTCACTACTTTCAAAGTCACCCGGTCACGGTAGTCACATCGTTTCCACACGGGGATATACTTCACAATCGCGAAGCAAATGGACGGATCGCGAAGTGGGCCTGGACTATTGGACTATGCATTTTGATGGGTCGAAGAGGCTCACAGGCACTGGAGCTGGGGTCATCTTGATTTCCCCGACTGGAGAAAGATTGAGCTACGTATTGTGGATACATTTTTCTGCGTCCCATAATGTGGCGGAATACGAGGCGCTACTCCATGGATTAAGGATTACAATCTCTTTAGGCATTCGCCGATTAATCGTCCGTGGAGACTCTCAGTTGGTTGTTAATCAAGTCATGAAAGAGTGGTCATGTCTAGATGATAATATGACCGCTTATCGACAAGAGGTACGCAAGCTGGAAGATAAATTCGATGGACTCGAGCTCACCCATGTCCTTCGACATAAAAATGAGGCAGCTCATAGACTGGCCAATTTTGGTTCAAAATGGGAAGCAGCCCCTTCTGATGTGTTCGTTGAGCATCTTTATGAACCAACCGTGCCCAGAAAAGAAGCAATTGAAGCCATGGATACTCAAGGCGTAAGCATGATTGAAGCCGACTGGAGAGAACCCCTCATAAAATTTTTGACCAAACAAGAACTCCCTCAAGACAAAAATGAAGGCGAGCGGATTTCCAGGCGCAGCAGACTTTACATTATTCATGAAGCTGAACTGTATAAGAAAAGTCCATCAGGAATACTGCAGCGCTGTGTATCTTTGGAGGAAGGGAGACAATTGTTGAAGGATATACATTCTGGTATTTGTGGTAATCATGCTGCTGCACGGACCATTGTCGGCAAAGCTTACCGGCAAGGTTTTTTCTCGCCTACAGCTGTGTTCGATGCGGACAAGATTGTGCGGACATGCGAAGGTTGTCAATTTTTTACCAGACAAACTCATTTGGCAGCCCAAGAGTTGCAAAACCATCCCGTTGTCCTAGCCGTTTACGGTCTAGGGGCTTGACATGGTCGGCCCATTTAAAAGGGCAGTCGGTGGTTACACGCATCTCTTTGTGGCTATCGACAAATTCTCCAAGTGGATTGAGGCTAAACCGGTCATTACGATCACAGCAGATAAAGCTAGAGATTTTTTCATCAACATTGTGCATCGGTTTGGGGTACCTAATCGGATCATCACTGATAATGGCACTCAATTCACTGGCGGAGCATTTAAAGACTTCTGTGAAGACTTCAGCATTAAAATTTGTTACGCCTCCGTGGCACACCCTATGAGTAACGGACAAGTCGAGCGTGCTAACGGTATGATACTGCAAGGGATCAAAGCATGAGTTTTTGACCGACTACGCCCCTATGCTGTCAAGTGGGTAGATCAGCTGCCGTCCGTACTTTGGTCTTTACGCACTACTCCTAGTCGGGCTACCGGCCAGTCGCCGTTCTTTTTGGTTTATGGCGCAGAAGCAATGTTGCCGAGTGAAGTGGAATTTGAATCACTACGATTTCGGAACTTCAATGCGGAGGGCTATGAAGAGGGCCGAGTAGACGACATCAACCGACTAGAAGAAGCCCGAGAAGCAGCTTTAATTCAGTCGACTCGATATTTGCAAGGGTTGCGCCGTTATCATAATCGGAATGTTCGATCGCGAGCCTTTTTAGTCGGTGACCTGGTTCTGCGGAAAATTCAAACAACACAGGATCGGCATAAATTATCTCCCTTATGGGAAGGACCGTTCATAATTGCTGAAGTCACTCGGCCGGGTTCTTATCGACTCAAGCGCGAAGACGGTACTCTCATCAACAATTCTTGGAATATTGAACACCTTCGTCGATTTTATGCTTAGGCATTTCATTTGTATCTTTCCTCTTTGACTGCTAACTTCAAGTTTTTTCTTGAAGTTTTTAGTCAGGGGGCTACTATAATAATAATGGAGTGTGATTTTTATCAATTCAATTTGCTTACTTGATGTATCATTGCCCTGTTTGATTTCTTGGCTTAGTCAATGAGGACTGAAAGTTTTTTAACAACTTTTGCGGGTTTTAGGCTCAACAAGGTTTGACAAAAAACTTTTAAGAAATCAGGAACTAAGTTAAGATATTAAGCACAGCATAAATTCATCAGTATTGTACAAATTGTGCCTCCATCATCATTAATCGTCAAAGTCATTGGTACATTAATCAGTATCAGTTTTTTCATCATCAGACTTATCAGACCCAGTCGGCCGAAGGTCGACATCTTAGAATCTCTCAACTACATCAGCAGCAATTTTGTCAGCCGCTTTCTGCGCATCACTGATGAGGTCAAGAGCAGCTTCTTCGCTCGTCCTATCTGCAAAGCCATCAATGGCATCAATATCAACTCTTGGATAAAGGGATTTGGTCATCACCAACGCCAGACTTGCTCCCATACTTCCAGCTTCTTTGATGTTCTTGAAATATGTATCCGGAGCAACTCTCAGCTTGTCGAAAATTTCAGAAGCATCAAGTGCACTCAGGCCGTTGTTATTAAAAAACATCGCTTGAACAATTGGGGCAGCAGCGTTAGCAACCTCATCCCGGGCTCCTTCAAGTTTTTTGATCTTGCCAACCAGGACATCGAATTGAGCTTGAGATTTGATCTTGCGGTCTGCATCAACAGATTCACATTAATAAGTCAGCATATGGAGGATAATGGCTTTTGAGGTATTGATTGTTGATACCTTCAACTTCCTTTAAAGCCAGGTCTCTTTGTTTTGCCAGTTCTGCCTTGTCATTTTCCAGAATTTGAATCTGCTTTTCCAACGGAGATATCTTGGCAGCTTGCACTACATTGATTACGGTTAATCAAGATTGCAAAGATAACAGTATGAGTCAGTTGAGCAGAGTTTGTGCGTACCTTTTGATGAGCCACTCAGTTCAAAATTTGATTCCTGGAGATTAGCAATCCGATCCCTCAGATCATGTTCATTCTTCCTGGCAAGTTCTTTCGCTTCGTGCAGTTGATTCCTGGTGGCTTCGAGGGTCCCGAGATGAGGGACTAACCTCTCTAAGGTTACCGTTTTGGCTTCGTTCCTAAGATGAATCCTCTGCAAGACAGTTTAAATAGCGCATGAATTAAATGGCAAACAAGATGGTTGACATCAGGTACCAGAGGGCTTACATTTACAATACGGGTTGCCTGACCAAGTGCCTTTTTCAGTAGGCATAACTCTTCATCCTCTTTTTGCTTATTTATCACGATCCCTTGAGGCTGCATGTTGTCATCCCACCACTTGACCAGAATCGGAAGGCGTGAATCCTCAGCTGCTTGTATCCGGAGGATCTCTTCTTCATCACCAATTATTGGCCCTAGTGTATCCATGAACGAAGATGAAGCAGCCAAATAAAGTCTGTTGGATCAAAATGATTTCAGATGGCATGTCTACCTGTGATGATTCCCGGTCGGGGACGAGTGGACTTTGGTGCCTTCACAGGAGATCTGGTTTCTGATTAATTGTCAGCATCCTTCCCGAGAGGACTGTTCGTTTGAGCTTCAATCTCGGGAATCTTTTGGCTTGGCCCTGCATCCGACTGGTTTCCAGTCGGGGGCTCCTGGTTAGCACCGACTTCAGCTTCGGCCGACTGGTTCCCAGTCGGGGGCTCGTTGCTAGGTTCTACATTGTCGGTTGCCGGTTGTTTGTCACTCGGACGATCTTCTGCAGTTGGCCCGGTTTCTTTTGAAGGGTTTGCCTCTATGTCAGCCAGCTCGGGGTCCTTTTCGGAAGGATCTATGTCAGACGGCTTCCTACGAGTTTGAGTTATGCTGTTAGTATTATTTCAACAGTGGGTAAGCTGCAAGACAAGGAAGATGGCCAAATGGTTTGTACCTGGAAGACTTTCTGATTTTTGGCAAAGGACGACTGGAGGTTTTCTTCTTCGGATTAGTTGGCTTTGGGGATTTTCCGGTCGCTCCTTTTTCTCCGAGCCTTCCGGTATCATCGCCTTCCTCGTCGCTTAGAACCAGCTTCCTCTTGCGAGCATCTGACTGGCCGACTGGATCGGAAGCACTTGGTCGAGCGTTAGATCGAATTTTTGGTCCTCCACTCGCCTGACCAGTTTGCTGGCGAGGTGATCGGCGTTGAGCAATTGGAGGATCCGATTTCATCAAAGCAAATTCCTGGGCATGATATTTCAAACTTTCAATTAGCTTAACAGAGGGTAAAAGCATACTTTTGAGGAAGGTTGAAATGTTTGAGTGCATACCGGTGGAGGAGGGTTGAATGCGTTGAATGGCACAACGGGCAGCAGATGTGAATAGCTGACAACAATAGCGTTTGAGAAGATCTTGTACATTCTTTCTTTCATGACCTTAAAGTCGAGAGAATCTGGATTTTCCCGATTTGGATCATGCTTGCCATCAAACTCAAAAGCTGTGCGGGACCTCTCTTTGATTGGAGCTAATCGACTTTTGATGAAGTGCCGAGTGATCTGTTCTCCCTGCAAACCTTGTTCCTTCAGTTTTAGCATGCGTTCCATCAATTCCATTGCCTGAGCAGCTTCATCTCCCATAGGCAATGAGTTCCATGTGTCCTGGTAAACCGGAGGAAGACAGCAGTACTCGGGGAGTGCGGGCTCAGGATTTTGAACATAGAACCAGTTTGCATGCCAGCCTTTCTTTGAGGTTTTGAAGGGCATGGAGAAATATTTTTGGCTCAAGGTTCCTCTGAGTTGGAAACCAGCTCCCCCAACAACGCATGGTTTGCTTTTGTTTGGCTGGGGCTTGAGGAAGAAGATGCGGCGGAACAAGGCGAAATGAGGCCTAATGCCCAGAAAAGCTTCGCAGGCATGGATAAAATTGGCAATATGCACTATAGAGTTTGGATTCAAGTGATGCAAGCTAATCCCGTAGAAGTTCAGAATCCCCCGGAAGAATCTAGAGGTTGAAAGAGAAAATCCGCCATAGAAGAAATGAGCGAATACCACGATTTCGTGTGTGTCGGGGGTCGGGAATGCTTCGCAGAACGCCGGTCGCCACCCGATAATCTCCTTCGCTGGGAGAACGCCGTGCGCCACCATCTCCTTCAGGTTATCTTCTGTCACATCGGAGGGCGCCCACTGACTCTCGAAGCTTTCTCTTTCTTCTGCCATGAATGTGAACTGGATGGTTTGATTTGGTCCGAGATATGGCTGGAGAGGAATGGGAATCGGAGTGGTGGACGCGGGGAGAAATTTCGTGAAGTTTTTGAGGGTTGGAGCAGATTGATAAACCCTAGCTTCGTCGGTGCGGTTCTGTACTGTAGCACGGAATGGGGAATGGCGAGAGTCTCGGTGGGGAAGACGAAACGACGTTTGGACTTCGGTGTCTTTAGGGTATCGGGAGTACTAATGGGCCTGGGCCTGTACAGTACTTCAGCCCAATTATGTTTTCAGCGTGGCCCGTTGTGATCCTTAGGAACTTAGGCGCTTTTTGCTTTGGCAATATGTGCTCACAATGATGCGGTCCGATGCTGTTAAAATCCTTTTTAACGCGATTCAATAATTCTTTGGAATTATTATGATTCACATGAGAAGGTGCCCGACAGAAAGGTGTTATACCATTTTTGTAAGCTTTTTTAGGCTACAAAAGATGTTGGGTTAATTTGAGATGACTGGTTTATTAGTAGTCATTCTCCTAGCATGTTATATGCTTATTTTGATTATGGTAAGGGTTATAGCCTAAGCTAATGAACTTCTTAATTACCATGATCTTTATCATATTTGGTAGATCATTTTAAGAGTTTCTTACTCGGATTCCTACCAAATATATCTATTTTTGGACCTTTTGAGTGTTTATCATTCGGCCCTTTTCATATTTTTTATCCTTGATATATTCAAGTGAGAAGCAGTCGGCTGGGTATTTTATTGAGTACCATGCATGCTTCGAAATAAAATCACCCGGTCCTTGACTATATGTTTAGTTTTTTAACTAATCACATAGTCGGGGGCTACACCTAATTAGGTGCATCTACTCGATGCACCATGTTTTATTTTCGCCCTTCACAGTCTTTTAGCACTCGGCAAGCCGAAGCAAGTTGAATTGAAGCACTCGGATTATTGTTTTTTGTTTCGAGAAGACTATTTTGGTCAACTGTGAAGGTCTCGGAGGCTACTGTGGAGATTATGGTTACCCCATATCTACATGGCGGTTACATTCCAGCTGGATATATGGTACCAAATATAGATAGAATATCTTTATGAGGACTCGGGTTAGATTCTAAACTTGTATGACAAGAAAATACCCGGGATCCTAGTCGGTTATGATTGTATTTTATCTGTAATCCCATGTTCCGTTAGGATATGGACTGTATTTTGTAATACGGATCCCTTCCCCTATATAAGGAGGGGTCCGGGTTCCTCTCAGGACGATTCTTTTTCTCCCAATCATACAATCAATAACACACTCGGCGGAATCATCTCCGGACAGGAGTAGGGTATTACTTCTTGAATAAGAAGGTCTGAACCTGTATAAAATTCCTTGTCTCCAAACCCATCCACTTTCCTAGCTTGATAGCCACCCCTTTTATTATTGCCGAAATCTTGTTTCGACACCATGCCAGAGTGGATGGTCAGAGCATGGTTTAAGTACTGAATGGTTGTTTGATGGAATGCTAAACAGTAGGCAATGCACGCACTAACACGTGTATAAGCTGAATTTGAAATAGAAGTGACCAGTGACGTAGCCTAGGGCTCAACTTGTATAATTTACGTAATTACCTTTATCTTCCATGTTTTAATTTTAAGGTTTTAAAATGTAAATTTTAATGGATATTTAGGTTTAGGAGTAGGGCAGCAGCCCTAGCTGCCCTACCCTTCCGCCACTGGAAGTAACCAATTTACAGAAAACTGATTTTTCACTACTCCCTCCGTCCCATTTCAAGTACAACTATAGTTTTTTACGCCCAACTTTCATCGTCCATCTTATTTGAATATTTTTTGAAAAAATTTAAAAACATAAGTCACGAGTAAAGTAATATTTATGTTTTATTATCTCATAACAATAAAAAATACTAATTATAAAAAAAATTTCAAATAAGACGGATGATCAAAGTTAAGTACGAAAATTTATAGTTGCACTTAAAATGGGATGGGTGAGTATGTAATACCGGCAGCTTGGTCTAAAAGATTCTAAAAATAGAAAGGAGCATGAATACTTATCTCTGATGAAGGCCGATATATGTTTCATCTAAAATTTCGCCAAGCATGTAACAACCAATCTCTCAATACTTGTACGCCAGACAGAAAACTTGCATCGGTAAGGTTGAAACAAATAAATTTGCAGATCAAAGTACCTGCGTAGAAATAATAATAATTTTATCAGGCCACTCAGCTACTAACATAAGAGCATAAACAAACTAAATAAGCATATATAAAAAAAATGGCATCAGCTGACAGGTGAAATTAAAGCAGAATTAATAACATTAGAGTCAGAGCAAGAGGGAGGAGGGGTGATGCCGAAGTAGATGAGCATTGATAGTTTGGTACAAAAGAATCGGAGAATCTGAGTCTGAAAATGGGGAAATTCAATACTAGATTATATTCACAGTGAATTATTCACCAATAATGCGTTATCCATTGGACCCGATGTGGCGGATGTGCTTCCTATCGGTAGCAATCAACAGAAAGGGGATGGGGGAGGCGGGGAGGGGAAGCGGCGGGAGAGGGGAGAAGCTAACGGTGCTGGTCGTGCTTCCCGGGAGCTGGAGGTGCGCCTCTCCATCACCGGGAGGAAGAGCCGAGGGTGGGGGATCTGGCGAGGGGAGCCGGAGAGACACGTTGCGGGGAGAAGCAGCAGCCATTCTGCCGTGGCCTCGTGGGGAGGTGAGGGAGGTGGAAGCGTATTTTGCATTGATGCTACGGTGTCTATTGGGCTTTTGGATTTTGGGCCCTCCTGGGTGCATGTGTCCAACCATCTTGGATCAGATCCTTTTTTATGATCGGACGGCTGTTATTTTATTGGTGTTGTGGCTCAACCACAATGCAGAGAATTGATATTAACTATACTAAAGCTATGTTCTTTCCCTCATTTTCTATATAAAAGTTATTTTAAAAAATCATATTAATCTATTTTTTAAAAAAAATTAGTTAATACTTAATTAATCATGCAATAATACGAGCTTCGTTTTACGTGTCGGGCTAGATATGGGCCCAGAGCTTAGAGGTGAAACCATCCATCCGAAATGAATGAATATTGTCTCAGGCGACACCTAGGCGTCCTTTTTCTCCTCGTTGGATTCCCTCTCCTCTCCGTCTGTGGTGGCCATTGGTCTAGAGGATGGTCGGGTTTATCTCATAGTCAGGTAAATCCCGTTGTTGGTCCTCTCTTTTTTCTTTGTTGTGCAGATCGAAGGAGGTGGTGGCGTATTCCTCCTCCGTCTCCATCTTAGAGTTCTCCGGCGATGGAAGCACTTGCTACTCCTTGCTTTTGGCATATGCGGTCCGGTTGATGTTCACCGGGTTAGTCCCACGCGCCATACTACTTTTCGGTGTCTGCAACTTAAAGTTCTCCAATTTCTTTTGAGAAGAGGTTGCGCCGGCCGTTCACTTCTTTTCGGTAACCACTCACATAAGGGCGGTGTTCTTCTCCTTGGGTTTCGGTGTCAGATTTGTAAGGGGCAGCTGTGATTTGTTTCTTTGGCCAAGGTAGCTTCAACCACCATAGTAGAGGCCTCAACTGGATTCGCTCCTTGGCTATCTTTTGCCATGTTTTCCTCTTCACCGTCGCCGTTAGCACAGGCCAAATCGCCGCTCCCGTGGAAGAAGCAGACAAAGGACCCAATTGCTTTTGCCCCGTTCTTTTCAAGTTCTTTTCTACAAATTTTCGATGTATGCTCAATTTGGCCGTTACTGAGGGGCCTTTCTACAAATTGGATGTTCTTCCCGTTGTTGTGTTTTATCATGTGCCTTTTGTATCTAAACTTTTATAATAAACTAGATAAATTGTCTGTGCGTTGTAATGGGTGAACACTATTTTAATTTTGTTATTGTTATACGGTTTAATTAAGGTGAAATTCACTGTGAGAATTTGCTTGGATATATTGTTTTTCTTAAAATTCATGAGCTGCAATTAGTAGTCCGATTATCTCAAGTTAGCCTGTATGTTTTTTTAAAGAGATTTCTTATACGACTACTTCTGTATTTTAAAAAACGAACAAACTTAAAATCCGACTCAAATACATATATGTATTTAAAATCGAACGAACTTAAAAACCGACTCATACACGGATGATATACCAAAGTACCAGAAAAACATCTCAAATTCTTATAAAGTAAAGATATGTATCAAAGTACCAGAAAAACATCTCAAATTTTTATACCAGTAACACATGCATGACCTTAAAAAAAAGAAATGAATGAACATTCTCCAACCTTTGCCACAGCAGAGACGCCGTCTCCAAGCGAAATACTCCTACTCCGTCGACTTATCAACGGTCTAGATCGCCTTAAGATTCGTGCGAAGAAGAGAAAAAAGAACACCTTATCCCTCCCTACCCTCTTCCTCTGCCACCACCACTCGAGGAGCCTCCTCGGTGTCTCCCGATCCGCCGCCGCCGCCTTCTCCGGCGATCCGGCAGCCGCATCCTGAACGCTCGCCTTCCCGTTGCCCCCGCCGCCTCGCCGCGGCGCCCTCACCGCCGCCCAGGCCTGACCTCCAAACCCGGGAAGCCACCCTCTCCTCCATCCATGGCGTCCGCCGCCGCCACCTCGTCGTCGGCGTCCCTTCGCCTCCTCACCAAGCCCCCCAAGCCCCTCCTCTCCAAGCCCCACCTCCTCACCCTCTGCGCCCCGGTCTCCTTCCAGCGCCTCGTCGCCAGGTCCAGCGCGTCGCCGACCCCGTCCCCCTCCGCCGCCGCCGCCGCCGCCGCCGCCTCGGGCTCCGGGGTCGATCCGGCGCAGCTTCCCCCGGCGCTGCGCGACATCGTGGCGCTCTTCCAGTCCGTGCCGGACCCGCGCACACGGTACAAGCAGCTCCTCGCCTACGCCGCGCGGCTGCCGCCCATGGACCCGGCGCTCAAGACCGACGCCAACCGCGTCCGGGGATGCGTCTCCCAGGTCTGGGTCCACGCTGCGCCGGAGGAGGGCGGCGCGCCGGGCAGGGTCAGCTTCCAGGCCGACTCCGACGCGCAGCTCACCAAGGGCCTCGCCGCGCTGCTCGTGCTCGGCCTCTCCGGCGCGCCGGCGCGGGATGTCGCCATGGTGCCCGTCGAGTTCATCGAGCTGCTTGGGATCAGGCAGAGCCTCTCGCCGTCCAGGAACAGCGGCCTGCTCAACATGCTCAGCCTCATGAAGCGCAAGGCCCTGGAGGTTGCCACCGGTGAGGTAACCACTGAGGAAATTGGCAGCCAAGAAGTGGTCCAAGAGGTCGCTGAACGGCCTGCTGCGAAGGAGAAGGAACCCGAGTTTGCGGCTTTCGGTGCGCGAGAAGAAGAGGGTTCAGAGGTGCATAGCCCACAGGAGGAACAATTGGAGGAAATGCCAGCTGATGTGATGGAAGGGAATGGTGGTTTGGGGGGTGGGAGGCAGGAGAGGATAAAGGAGAGCCTTGAGCGCGGGCTTTCGCCGGTGCAGCTCCAGATCGAGGACATATCGCACCTCCATAAGGGTCATGCTGGGGTGTCAGGAAGCAATGGCGAGACGCATTTTAATGTTCGGGTGGTCTCAGAGGCGTTTCAGGGGAAGAGCCTGCTCAAGAGGCACAGGGCTGTGTATGATCTTCTGCAAGATGAGCTCAAGAATGGGTTGCATGCGCTCTCCATTGATGCAAAGACACCATCAGAAGTCTAGGTATCTGCACGACTGCATATACAGTTAACAGAGACGCCATAGATGCATTTTTGGTCATGTTATCTTTGTAAGGTTTAGTTTTGGATACATACTGTAGATTTTGAAAGATCAAAGCTTCTCAGTTCTGATAATTTTGTCTTTTTACTGCAATAATTAGTGCCTTAATATTATGGCAGAGATACACATGAATTTTGTCATGCCAGAATAAGAAGGAACGACTTGTTTTATTGAGTTAATATGTATGGCTCACTGATCAATCTTGCATGTTCTATTAGCAAAAAACAGAAAGTGATTAGGCTGTTACTACCTTCCAGCAAACTCAACTAATCTACCCTATTAATGCTGGTCCCAGCTGAGAAATCATCATGCATGTGTCATTGTTTAGAGTATGAATTCGATGCACATAGGTCATAGGTCATAGCATCTCAATGTTACAAAATGGGCTTGAATTCTTCATGTAGATTTCAAATGCATGACTGGTTGCTTGCTTTTTTTATTAAATGAAGTGTCATTAAAAGTTCTCTATTCATGAAATTCTGTTGGGCACATATTCACTGCACACCTTACTGTTTTGATGTTTTTCTTTGCAATCTGGAGATTAAAGCAGGAATTTCTACCACAAAAAAGTATAGTTTTGCATACTGAATCTACATATTTACAGCATATATGGCCATTAGTTTTCACTGTATGAGTTTTGAATATTTGAATGCCAGGAGCTGACAGGATACAATGTAGATATATTGGAGTTCACAGCTACCTGGAATGCTTAATTCCTTATGTAATATATAGTTTTCTGTATGCTGCAAATTCTATGTTGTGCATAAGTTAAACCATGTTGGAATGCTTGTATGGAAACAGTTCTATGCAAAGCTTGGATGTCTCCACTGATAATGTTCTCTCAAATATCCTTTGTTTACAGTAAATTTTGTATTCAAATTTTAAAGTTTTCTCATTCTCCATTGTCAATATTTTTTTATTGGTGCATGTGTTAGAGAACAAATTTAATTTATTTGCTAAATATAGTATCATTCGTCCTTATCTGTGAGGTTCAAAGTCACTTATTTATACCGCAACAATAAAATACGCCTAACCATTTATACTGTCCAACAAGTGAGGAGGCTGGAGTCGTACAGTCATGCCCCGTAATCTAGTGCAAGGAATAATTCTTGAAGTTTCTACTCTAATAATTTGTCTTTTATTACTCCAGATTATGACAAACTTTTCTATCATCTATGTTCCACTGTTAACATGATCAAATTATTTGCTGAGATAAAACTTCACAAGTTTGGTTGGAGCAGCATAGCCTGTACTTGCAGTTGCACTAGGTAGTAAACATTAATAAGAGTAACTTAGACATACTGATGATAAATGTTCATAAGGTTGTGAGGTACATATATCGCACTCTGACTAGCTGATGGATCCCATTATAACCATCGCTGGTTACTTGATATTGTAGCCTGTCAACATAAATTAGCGTATCAGTCAGGCTTCTCTTGCTTACGGCTAGTTTGCAGTTTCTTATTTCAATTGCAGTCCCTCTTGGTGTGATGGATGAAAGTCTGATTATTCTGTTTCAATGTTGGAAGCAAGATTTTGACGCAGTCTTTATCTGTTGGAATGGTTGTAAGCATAGAAATTATCTGTTTGATTGAGGGGATTTTATTAGCAATAGTACTACGGTGTACCAAACCGAAACCAGGAGGGGCTTTAGAGTTCATCTCATAATTTGATTCTACGTTGAGGTTTAGGTATTTATTGATTTTATTCATTTGCTGCAATCCTGGTTGCTTGTTGTCAGTTTGGCCTTACCTGATGCCTTGGGTTTCTCCATTGTACTGCTACTATTTCTTCCTGAATGCATAGGCAGGGCTCCTGCCATTGTTTCTACTTCATGTAATATTAACGGGATGTTTGTAGTCCATGCAAGATTTAGTGGAATATCGTATGTACAAGTACAATAGACAGTATGGGTGTTACATTACAACTCCACTGCTTACATCCTTGTTCAATGCTGGCTGTCTGGCTGTGTAGATGTTACTCTGTTAGAGCTTAATATGATATATAGTCTATCAGGGCTTACGTCGCATTTGTGGTTGTTCCTAAAGATAGCTTGCTGTGCACATATTTGATTACCTGACAAATTTGAAGCTGGAAGTAACTTTCAACCTGTGGAACATGAATACAACTTGCAGTAGCCAAGCTGGATTATGAAGAAATGAACTTGTTCAGCTCTGAATCAATACCTGGTTGCAGATAACTGAAGCAAAAAGCTGAAAACCTGGATTAAATCCTCAAATGCAAAATGGATAACTGGTGGTGAGAGTTTGTTGCTAACCTTCATTTTAATCTGTGCTAACCTTCATTTTGGTGGTGGGAGTTTGTTGCGCCTGTTTGGGGAGCTTCTAGCTACTGCAGCTGAATCAGAAGCTCTCCCAAACAGTCTAGCTTTTGGTCCAGATTCTGATAAACTGTAATTGTAGAATCTAGAAAATGGACTAGAAGCCGGAAGCTGGGAAACCCAGCTTTTCCAGATTCTCAGAAGCTGGTTACCAACCAGCTGCTTCTCAGAATCTTAAGCTCCCCAAACATGCCGATAATCCATATTGTCCGTTGTACTCCTCCTTCGGTCCCAAAATACAAGAAAATACCTTATATTTTGAGGCCATTTTGGGACGAAGGAAATACTTGATATTCCATTTACTACGGTGGTATGGCTGTCCATTATTTTAGTCATTTTTTTACAAAATCGACAACAATATTTTTGAGAAAAACCCCATCCGAGGCGAAAAAAAGCAGGGCTACTGTAGCGAATACGAAAACAAACAAACTACATGGCCCAAGTTATATAGTTTTTTTTTGCGCTCTGGAGGTCTATAGAGAATAGATATTCCACTTCTATTCTTGTGATGACCTCCATTCTTGCGGGATTGCGCGCAGGTGCACTGGGAGGTCCCTTTGGATATTCCCGCCCCTTTCAAACCATCCAAGACGATCACCCCTGACGGAGCGTGAGGCTCCTCACCGGGAGACCGCGCAGGCCCCTCTTTGTCGGTTCGGCCGGGGACGCTAGGTGAAGTTCTAAGCTCTCAGTCTGTGGAACGTTCGCGAGCAAAGAGACACGCAAGACACAGGCGATGTAGACAGGTTCGGGCCGCTGAGAAGCGTAATACCCTACTCCTGTGTTCTGGTGGATCTGTGTATGAAGAAGCTACAAAGAGCCGGAGAGCAAGAGAGCTTCCACTCTCGAAACCCTCTTCCTCCTTTTTTTCCTCTCGTGGATCTTTCCAAGTTCCGGGGGATCTCCTCCTCCGGGCCCCCTCCTAAGTGGGCAGGGTCCTCCTTTTATATCTCAAGGGGATACCACATGCACCAATTCTACCTCTTTTTCTTTTGGGTGGGGACCCATCCTATCTTTACTAAAACTTGGCTCGCCTTCTCTTGGAAGCTTGTTTTTGAGTGTGGCCACGCGTCCTCACTCGTCTGACCTCGGGGATCACCCTGTCATCCCTTCATAAATGGGCGGAGACTTGCAATGGCTGCTGTCCGAATGACCTTCTGATGGGACGGCCCATACCTACCTCCACTCCGCCGGAAGCAGGTTCAACGTGGGAACGCGGTTGTCTACCGATGACATGACCAGTGTCAGATCGGTGACAAACCAGTCATTTTTGTCCTCCACGCGTCAGCTTAGCAAACTGCATGTCTGCCCTTCTTCATACAATGTCTTTCTTGCAATGGTTGGGATGAAGCCTGGTATATATCTGACCGGGACCAACGTGCCATCTCCAGGAGCTAGCACGCTGGCTCCGGCTAGGGACGAGTGCCTAGAGGCTCTCATCCTGACGGGATGGGGCGAGGCGTGTGTCAGATCGCCTGTTGTCACCTAACCCGCAATCTGACCGGTCTGTGACCGGTCACAGACCGGATAAACGAGCGCGCTGCACTGCGTTACATGCGGCGTGACGCGCTCGTCCAAAACGCAATAAATGCGGTTAGGTGAGCCCCGCTGTGCTCACCTAACCCATACACGCGGCGTAAAACCCACAAGGGGTCGGGGCGCCTCGGCCCTCGGGGCCGAAACGGGAGCGGTCCGACCCCTCGGGGAGACAAAGAGAAGGGCGGCCACATCAATCTCGGGCCCCCCTCCCCGAGGGGGTTAGGCCACGTGGGTGATCGTGTCTGCCTCAAGCCTCTAGTCATGATACTCCCGGTCCCATGTCACCGACAGTAGCCCCCGGCGTTATGCCAGGGCGATCGCCCCCCTCGAGGGAAACGGTCGGGCATGACGCCACTCCTATGGCCTGGTGACAGGTGGGGCCGGTTTCTACTGTTGGGCAGAAACCCAGCGGTCGCAAATCACGTACATCGGCAATGGTAACTCGACTGTCAGTAATGAGCGGTCTCTTCAAGACTGCCACATTACTTGAGTAGCACACGAATCGGGACGAGCCGGTTCGTTTTGCCTGGAGATATGGTGATGGCGCTTCGGTCGGCGAGCGTAATTAACGCGCGCACGATATGTTCCATCTCGACTGCCACAGCCGCATATCCACCTCATGCGCCGCAAACGGGCGAATGGGATTAGTGGAAGCGTGGGCGCGAGAAACGAGGGGGCGAGATAGTGGGCGCGAGAAGCGAGGAGCCGGGCACAGCGTTTGGCAAGGGTATAAAGACGCCGAGGAAGAGATTTGCTTCCTTCCTCTCGCCATTATTCCCCTTGTCTTCGCCGCTTGCGCCCTAACTCCTTCTTTCCCGTGCCCTTCCCTCACCACACGCGCTCGCTCTCAAACATATCTTCTTCCGGCGTCATGGCACGGGGCTCCGTTCCGCTTGACGGTAGCGTGCTGCCGCCTTCCCGCATCGTGAGCGAGAGGCAGGCCGGGCTGCCGCGCCGCTTCATGCCGGAATCTGCCACCGGCCAGGAGGTGGTCGCGCTGGGTGAGGGACGCCCGGCGCCACACTACCCGGGGCGGTCCGTTTTCTTCCTCCCTTTCGCAATGGCAGGGCTGGTTCCGCCATTTTCTTCTTTCTTCATGGATGTTCTGGAGTTTTACGATCTCCAGATGGCGCACCTCACCCCCAACGCGGTAATGACATTGGCCATCTTCGCGCACCTGTGCGAGATGTTCATCGGGGTGCGCCCATCTCTCCGGCTGTTCCGGTGGTTCTTCACCGTTCAGCCGGTGTCGCCGCCGTCGATAGTCGGTGGCTGCTACTTCCAGCCGCGGGGGCCGGTGTTGAACCGCTACATTCCCTGCGTCCTCCGCAAGAAGTGGGATGACTGGAAGAGCGACTGGTTCTACACCCCCCTCGCCGACGAAGCGCGCCTCTGACTTCCGAGCCAGCCCCCGGTGCAGGCCTCCAGCTGGCGGGTGCCGGTAGATCTGGGAGACGGCTACGACGCTGTCCTCGACCGCCTGGCGGGCTTGCGATCCCAGGGGCTCACAGGGGCCATGGTGTACGGTGACTACCTTCGTCGCCGGATCGCGCCACTCCAGCGGCGCGCCCGGGGCGCCTGGGAGTACACCGGGTCCGAGGACTGTATGAGGACCCACCGGGGGGTCAAATGGGACTGGGTCCCTGAAGACTTCAAGGTAATGATCCAACGGGTGCTGAATCTCAGCTCCGTGGAGGCATCCCTCATCCCCCAAGGAGTCCTCCCCCTCTGCAGCGATCCAGATCGCGTCAACATCCTGACCATCATGATGACGGTCGGGGCCTCAGAGGAGCGAGCTTCTCGAGGCCATGACGGCGCGGGCGGGAGTCGCAGGGGCGAACAATCTACTCCAGGAGGGGGTCGTGCTTCCGGGCCCCGTGACGAGGGCTCGGGGGACAGCCGCCCTGCCGACGCCCGAGGGAAGAGGAAGCAAGAGGGTACCTCCTCCCCATCTCCTCCCCGAGGG